CCGCAATGGAGCAAAAAATGGGCGCGTGTGGTGTGTGTCTGTGTGTGTGTGTGTGTGTGTGTGTGTGTGTGTGTGTGTGTGTGTGTGTGTGTGTGTGTTGCTGAATTATGACATATGTATATCTGTTTTTAGTGAGTCTGTTGAGAAAACCAATCCCACTGTGCACACCTCACCTGCAGCGAAAACATACTCCAAACCTGCAGTGGCACCCACAAATGGCAAGGTTGTCCCTGCTTCCTCATTTAAAAGTCCTGCAGCCCAGAACAAAGCCCCCTATCAGCCTGGAGCTCCATCAGGTAGAGTAACATCCTGTACAGAAATCCTCCCTTTTCTCTTCCGACTTCTGTTGTTTACAGCCACTTACACGGTTCTGCTTCTGCCTTGAACATAGATCACGTGATGTAGTTGTTGCTTCTAGCCTACAGATGGCAGCACCCATTCATCTTATCTGACACCAAGCTATTTAAGATTATGAGCTCCATAACAGCCAGAGTTATTCAGTTAATGTGCTTAGATTATTGGCTTTTCCTAAGATCCCCTTAGCCAAATAGATTGTGAAAGTGATGTTTTATAGGTTTTAGAGGTTTTATTCTACTCTTTAAATACAGAAAACCCTGGCATGAAAACTTTAGGAAGTAATGCAAATTTTCTTTTTGTTGAAAGGAATCAGCCTGTGATCATTATTATCAATCCAGCTGTATGATAAAAGCATGCTGTCGCACATGAACAGATCCACTGTGCATCCAAAAGTATTTCCCTGGAAGCCTTTAAAAACATCTGCTGAAAGGTTCCTCAGAGGGAGAGAGAGCAGGAGGCGACACAGTGAGGTCTTTGTTGACTGTTATTTATCAGATTAACAAGTGCCTGAGTTCAAGTAAACAAGCACATATCTGTGAAAGGGGGCCGAGTATGTGGAATGTGCCATGCATCATTCAGATTTACAGTGTTTATAAGTTAAATTTATCATTTTCACAATTTAAATTTCTGCACATCATCATCATCACATCAGAATCATTTTTCATTGTGTTTGGATTAAAAGCTTTTCTATGCCTGTTTTCTAAAGTTATGAGGAGGGCAGAGATAAAATCACAGCCACAAAAACAGACTGAGGTGAAAAAGCTGCTGCCTAAAAGGCAAATAGCATTTGCTACACGGGAAAATATTTTCCCCAGCTTTAAAAGTCTCACTGTCCTTTGTGTTTAAAGACCTAAAAATCTCTTCCAGTAAGAATCAGTGTCTGTTAAAAACCGTTCTGTTTTTCCAGGTGTCTTGGAATTTGTTTGCCTCAGTAGGAAAATCACAGTTGGGTGGCTCTGTCCAAGCCTGATCTGTCATGGTTCAGGCACTGAAGTCATTAAAAAATTCCCATTCCTCATCCGACCACACACACCCCTAACCTCTTCTTTTCTGTTAACTGCATCTAGTAACTACTAGTTGTTTGTTCACTTTCATTTTGAAACATAAACCAAGACTTTATCTTTTTTCTTTTCTTTTTCTTCAGTCATCTGACCCATAGCTTTTTCTCATTTAGGTTTTCCTAAGGGTGGAGCACTTCCTTCATTTGGCAAAATCACCAATCCTGCTCCAAAAGGACCAGACCGCCCCACCCCGCGGCCACATCCTGAGGACCTCAACTCTCTGGTACAGCGTGCTGAGCACATCCCAGCTGGTACGCGGACCCCAATGTGCTGCAAGTGCAACAATATCATCAGGTACGTCAGAAAAACTGCATTCGGCAAAGGAGCTTTGGAACAGTAAAACATTCTTCATCAGCTACATTTACATTTAAATAAGTCTAAAGGTCTGTATAGCCTACAGCTTATTATGCAGAATGTTTATGTAAAACTCCTCAAGTGGTGCTTTGCTTATGTTTATGATCTGTGCTCAATCCCACCAGGGGACCATTCCTTGTGGCCATGGGTATGGCATGGCACCCTGAGGAGTTCAACTGCGCTCACTGCCGCTCCTCCCTGGCAGACCATGGATTTGTAGAGGAGGGGAACAAGGTGTACTGTGTGCAGTGCTATGAGCAGTTCTTTGCTCCCACCTGCGCCCGCTGCCAGCAGAAGATTCTGGGGGTGGGTTAAAGTGTCTTTGTCCGCTTTAACTAGAAACTCATATTACCCTCCACTCTATTCCAGGAAATGAAGCAAACACTGATCAAATCCACTGAAGTGTGTGTGATTGCACATTTAAAAATATACAGCACATACTGTGTGTTGACATATATTCAAAAAAAGAGCTGTAATATGATTGTAGCACATATACATATGTAAGCTGTAGCTAACTTTCCTTAATATTGTTAACTGTGTACAATCATGTGTTTATAGCAGGAGCTGCTATCCATCTGCTAACACTGAAATAGTCACTTTATTTTAATTCATTTTGTCGTGATAAATACAAAAATGATTCAAGTGTTTAATTTGATATCTTTTCTCCACAGGAGATCATGAATGCCCTGAAACAGACCTGGCACGTGTCCTGTTTCGTCTGCTCGGCCTGCCACCTCCCAATCAGAGGCAACACGTTTCACATGGAGGACGGACAGCCATACTGTGAAAAAGGTTAAGCGATGTTTTGTAAAGAAAATAAAGACAATGTCTCGTTCAAACAGACTAACATTTGCTGTTCACTCAGACTACTACAACCTGTTTGGGACCAACTGTCATGGCTGCGACTTCCCCATTGAGGCAGGGGACAAGTTCTTGGAGGCTCTAGGATTCACCTGGCACGACACCTGTTTTGTGTGCACGGTATGTTCAGGAGATTAATTCTCTGTGCAACAAGAGCTGGAAATACTGCCAATGTCGCAATAAGTAAACCAACTATATTATGTTTGTTTCTCTCTACAGGTGTGCTCTACTAACCTGGAGGGTCAGGCATTCTTCTCCAAGAAAGACAAACCTTTGTGCAAGAAACACGCCCACACCGTCAACATCTGAGCTGACCTTCTGTGAATATACATAAGAGAGAGAGGGGGCATCAGTTTGCAGCAAGTTATATTTCAAGCAAATGTTAAATATGTTCTTGATTTAAACAAAAATAAATAAATAAACTGGATTACTGGCATTCTTTAATAATAATAATATTTGGTCAGAGATTCCACTGTAAGCTTCATTCTGTGCTCTAGTATTGGTATTAGCTATTATCATTACTTATGTCACATAACTTTTAATAGAATATGCAAGAGTAAATTCAGTGCACTGTTGACTTCTTTGTCAGTTCCGTATCTACACCGATGCATTTTTAATACCCGTGTGGTGGTGGTGGTGTGCTGAAGATGAGAAAAAATTAGTTTACAGGGTTTAAAAATTAAGCTTATTTAACTTTAAATAATTATAAAAACAAAGTATATTTTAGACAGGGGATCACTCAGTCTGGCAAAACAATGGGAAATATTATTAATAGTAATTTTTTAGTAAAATCTTTAAATGATGTGCTGTTTAGTTATCACAGTGAAATGAAAAAACCAGGCAGTAACCTATTAAAATGTGCAATTTATATATTGTGCGTGCATTTTATTATTGATGCATCCAGGAGTATTTTGAAAAGACTTCCTAATGTCAAGTGAATAAAGTGGGGACATCCAGCTGTTTCTGTTCATGTTGTAAAGTCTGTACTTCAGTAGTTAAATGTTTGAATGAGCGTGCTTCCAGTGGTATTGATCCAGCTCCTGGCATTAAAACGCATTTTATTTTTCCTATTTTGTGCTAAACCATTCAATCACAGTTTTGTGGGATTTTCAGGTTACCAAAAAACAATTTTAAAATATATTTTCAAAAGTGGAGTTCTGCTGTCAGGTTTTGGTTTGTTTGTTTTGCATACTTTCTATGCATTCATTGAAATAAAACAGTCCAACATTGGCTGCCATGCATCATTTCAAAACCATGTTATTCAATTCTTTTGCACCGGACGCTAGATCAAAACTGTTGTTGTTTATGCTCTGTTTATGAGACGTTAGATGGACAGAAAGCATTGAGACGAGTGTGTGATGTATCACTGCTTGATATGTGTCTGCTATAACTATTATTATGAGGGGAAGCTTAAGAGGCAGGCAGACGGGCACCATGCACTTAAACTTCAGTAAGAAATTTAAGTAGCTTACAAATGTCTGTATAAGAATTAAAGAAACTATACTTGGTCTTCTGTCTTGTAACTGCTATAGGCTATAAAGTGTGAGAGATTCAGGAATAACTGAAAACATATCCAGTGATATTCAAATAACTGCAGGAGCTCAGGTTATTGCCATTCTCCAAGACGTCAGAGGTGGGAGCTGTGGGACACGAGATTTAAGCAGCCTCCAAAAACTATCGGTAGCCTACACTTGGAAAACTCCCGACGTAGAGGCGCATGGGCACAAATAAGAGACCAGGGTAGATCTGAAATCAGGACCGGCTGGGATTTTATTGTGCAGCTTTAAGAAGAGACGGTAAGTATACTTTTGCTGTCTCTGTGGGAGCGCAGTTTCAGCTGCACTGGGAAGTACTCGTGCAGTGGATGTCCAGACTTTCGTCAGTGAAACCCGGAGGGGTCCGTGATTTGTTTTCCGTGCTGCTGTTCAAATGAATTCAGCCGAAATGCTTATTTGGCTCCCTACGAGGGGGGTTATTTAGTGGCAGCAGCTGCGGGCGATCTGCGCGACGCCGGACAGCGTTATTGGTGGAGTCTGTGACGGTGCTGATGATGCTTAAATTGATCGCGGCGGTACATCTTTGATGCCTGATCAGATGGACAATGGCCTCGGAGTTGCGTTATGATAAGAGACAATCCACTGAGTAAAGTTGTTATCAAGGTCTCCCCTGTTAAATTCGACAATTTGGCCAATTTTGCGAAAGATATTCAAAGTTGTTTTCATTGCATTGATTGTGACGGTCATCTTCATCACCAGATAAGGTTAGCCCAGTAGTTCACTTATAACATATTATTGGTGCTTAATCTGACTTATTAAACTGATTACATATCAAAATCTAATTGGGTCAACTCCATCAGCTGATAAAGATCATATGATATAATCAAAGTCTATGTAATAATGTAATCACTGTGACTGATTTGATTTGCCACTGTTGTACTTATTGATCAGCTGGGATGTAGTTAATGCAAGGGGAATAAAATACGTAGATTTACACTGCCTCTATGACTAGAGGTAGATTGAAGGTATTAACAGTTCAATGCAATTTTACTTATATGCCACGAAATCACAACGACAGTTGCCTCAAGGTGCTTGATATTGTAATGTAAAGACCCTTCAATCAGATAACCAGCTATGAGCAAGCACTTGGCGACAGTGGGAAGAAAAAACTCCCTTTCAACAGGAAGAAACCTCAGGCAGAACTAGGCTCAGGGAGGGGCGTCCATCTGTAGCTGAGGGGAGGAAGACAGGACAAATGACGAGCTGTGGAAGAGAGTCAGAGATAAATAATCACTAATGATTAAATGCAGAGTGGTGTATAAAGACCTAGTGAGTAAAGAAGAAATACTCATGGGAATCCCCCAGAAGCCTAGACCTATTGCAGCATAACTAAAGGATGATTCAGGGGCACTTGATCCAGCCCTAACTATAAGCTTTATTAAAAAGGAACGTTTTAAGCCTAGCCTTGAGAGTAGAGTAATGAGAGTGGCTGTCTCCTGAATCCAAACTAAGAGCTGGTTCCAGAGAAAAGGGCCCTGAAACCTGAAGGCTGTGCCTCCCATTCTAATTTTAAATATACCATGAACCACAATTAAGCCAGCAAATCTGAGAGTGAAGTGCTGTGTTGGGATGATATGGTACCATGAGGTCTTTAAGACAAGATGGGGCCTGATTATTCAGGAGCTTGTATGTGGGGGACTGTTCTCTCTGTGAGAGTTCAGTGGCATAGGGTTGATGGAAATACTTGACCACTGAACGGATGACACAAAGTAAACTGTCTATGACATCGTCTCATGTTTACACGACTATCTCTGAGCCCGGTGGGAGCAATACACCTCATTCAGGCCTGTGGTGTAGTCTTGGAACACAGCAGCCCCTCTAACTCTCTACAAGACAGAGAGGCTCTTTGAGGCACAACAGAGTGAGTGTTTATTGGTAATATTAAACTCACAGAGAGTGATCAAACCACCGCCCACCACCCGGTTCTTGCCCTGGCTCTGCCCCTGGTAGGAGTCACGCCTGTCCTTAGGCATGATGGCATGTCAAGTGAGGGTGGCTGGCAAGGCAGCCCTTTGTGGTCTACCGCAGACTCCTGCTACAAGTGTTTCAGTGTGGTGGACTCTCTGGCACTGATGACTAACACAGTGTGTGTATATTCTACTTGTTAGGCCTGTTATGCAGCAGCATGAGGGCTGCCCTGTCTGTGAAAAATGTCAGATGGAGTTCCCACAGAGCTCTGTATGGACTGCAGTGTTGACTAAGAGTAATTAACCAATAGATTTCTTCATCTGGTTGATTGAAACCTTCACGGGTGGAAATGTGTAGCAATGATGAGGAATCACAAGTGATGGATATGTGGCTTTAGACAAATCAGAATTTTAAATCAAATAGCATCATATTTACGTGTGTGGTGCACATAAATGCACAAACACTCCTAATCACTGTGGTTAGATACTGGCCTATGTCTGGATTTGTCCACAGGGCTAAACTTAGCAAGCTGCGACCTTTCACCTCAAGTTTCCTCCCTTATAATTACAGGAAGCAAGGACAGCCAATCCAGGCAGAGATCACTGCCGCATATTAACAAGCTTAATAGGAGCAGTATTTGAGGACCGCACAGGTAATGACCGAATATGTGGGAGGAGGGAGAAGTTTTCACCTATAAAGTTTTGTCAGGACTGCAGAAGAAAAGCAATAATGAAGACTTTAGCTCATCACCTCACACTCATGTAACATGAGCACAGAGACAAATGGAGTATATCGAGATACAAACTTTCAGAGATCCAGTTACAGACAGGCTTTGCTCAATGCCTTTTCCAGCTGCCAGGACTTTATATGTTTTCATCATTTCTTTTAGCTTCTTCTCCTCTGTGTGCACTCCCTGAAGGAAGAGCATCTCACATCAAGAATTTTCCACAGGTATGGCTTTTCCATCTGCCATTCATTCACTCATATTTTGTCCGCTATTGTCTGTCTTCCCATCCTAAAATCTCCATACTAAGCTTCTCTTTGAAACAGGAACAGTATTTAACATAGGTGGCACCTGGGAAGCTTTTCTCTCAGAAATCTTATCCTGCCTTAGTTAAATTCTTTATTTTAAATGATACGTTTCTGTCGTCATTACCATTTGTAGATTTTTCCTATTACTCCTCTCTGGATATAATTAACCTGGAAGCACAGGTTACATGTTCCAATCTGAAATAGTCGATCTTGTTTCAGTTAGCTTAGATTCCCCTGGGACTTTGACAATTAATGCTAATTCACAAACACATAAGTACAAATGACCCACTCATCGTTTTATGTAGGGTTGCTGATGAAAGACTAATGAAGATGATGGGAGGTTGCCTGTAAGTTCATCGTATTACTGGGGAAAAATAGGATAAGTGGAAGATGATTGAAGATCAAAGAGCAGAAAGGATAAGGGTACCTTGCGTGATTGGGTTAATGCAAAAGTGGGGAAATGACCTGAGTTTGAAATTAAGTCTGCAGTTTTATGACAGACATATGAGCTTCTTCCAGTATTTCCACTTTTATTTCTTCCAGAGAAGGACAAGTGCTGAAGCTCTGGCTGGGCACGGTGACAGGATGCTTTCTGATGCCCTGGGTTTGGATGGTGAGTCAAACTCTCATGCACTCTCTATCCATGTGCCTGAGAACATTTCTTATAAATGGAATGACATAGTATCTGTTTATATGCACATGACTGACTGTAAAACCGAGCTCTTTTGTTAAATGGGAACTCACAAATGTAAAGTTGAGTGGTCTCACTTGAAGCTCCACACCGATAATATTGTGAAGAAAATGTAATCCAAAACTAAAAGCTGTATTGATCACGATAGGCTGTTTTCCTGGAGTTAGAGGTAGTATTTGACAAAGCTCATCGTGTGTGTGTGTGTGTGTGTGTGTGTGTGTGTGTGTGTGTGTGTGT